ACAAAGAATGCTAAGCGGCCTGCAACAGAGGACGACCGGATGACCGCAATCTCCTGGGCTACCAAAGCCCTCAAAGAGGAAGTCAGAGGTCTGACGACAGTGCCGCCGGTGCTGCATTGGGGTCTGATCCACACCAAGCAGCTCAAACAGGACATCATTGGTCCTCTGCTGTGGAGAAGCCTCAATGCAGCTACTGAGCTTACTGCAGGGGTCATGGAAAAGGTTTGGATGGGCTTTTGATCCGTGGGGAATGTCAAGGTGAGCACAAAGGCAAAGGTCTATCAAAGCAGGAAGGCATTGACCTCTTGTACATAATACATGCATTTAGTGGCTGGAGATTGCAAGCTCTGTGGTACAGGGTGCTGCCCTCACATCTCAGCCAGCCAGCAACTTGTTTGACTGTGGGGTAACAGTTGCTAAGCAATGTGCACTGAGCGTCCAGGTGATTCTGGTCGATGCATCATGCTCTGTCTACACCCTGGGTGTAGACAAAGAGCCCAAGTACTGCTTGGGGGTTGACAAGGAAGGGGTGCCACTTGTGCCTAGCTCTAAGGCTTGGGCCAAGCAAACCTTCTGCATCCCTCAAGAGCGCTTGCGGGTGGTGGAGGGAGTCAAACCAAAGGTATCTGAGGTGGAGTATAAGCTTGATGCCAGCATCAGAGCACATACCAAATGGAAGAGCAACAAGCTCAACATTGCTCCATTGAAGCCTCTTGAGGATGTGGTGTCACAGGGACAAGAGCCCCAGCTGGCCCTCATCCTCAATGCCAACCTGGTGAAGACTCATGAAGCCACCAAAGATGTAGAATTGGTGGATGGCCAGCTCTTGAGCCAGGCCAGCATTGCTGCAATGAAGTGGGATCTCTTGCACACTGATGATTTACTCCTTGGTGTACGCATGGATACCCATGGAGCACAACAGGCTGCTGTGGGGACAGCACTCTGCCAGGCGGCAGTCAAGTCAGCTCTGCTGACTCGATCAAGCTGGCGGCGGGAGAGTGCACGGACAAACTCTGGGGCTGCTGCAGGGATTGGATACCGGTTGGATCACTGTGGGAATGTTGGGCCTTACCAAAACACTGGTAAAAAGCTGACTGTATGTAATGGAAGGATTGTTGTATTGAGATTTGAGCTGACTGTGTGTTGTCATTACAGAAAGACCAACAAAACCAACAGGAGGTTCAAGATGAGATCATTTTGGATTACCTTGAGGGGTTGACAGCTGGAATCTTGCCTGGACTGCATAAGGAGCACAGGACAGTTACTAGGGAGGCAGGACTACCATCTGTGGGATATTGAGGGCATGTGATGCAGGGAACAGCAGCAACGGGGTATATCTCAGGTCATCACACGGTGAGTGGAGAACAGATTCTCCTTACTGAGTGCTAGCTTATGTTTGGCTTTTTACAGGATCCACATGATCCAGTGTTCACTGTAGGGCTGGATGTGACAGACAGGGACAGCTGGGACAAGATGCTGCCTGGTGGATACAATTTTGGGATTGGGCAGCTGGGGATCATTATGCGGAATGGGCCAGGAGTCTTTATGATGTGGCGGGGACTAATAGCCCACGGGACAACAGTGCCTGGGTGTGAAGAAGATTTCGAGAGACTGGTGGAAGAGCCTCAGACCTTGGGCTGCGCTGCATACCTTAAGCCCCCAATAATGACTTGAGCTGCAAAACTCACCAAGAAATTGATAGCAAGACCACTTGGGGCGCCTGAGGCCATTGATTTCAAACTTGGCAATCCCTGTATATCATTTCACTAGTTCATCTCCTTTGTACATTACATAGTATTCTTCCTTTCAAATCTGTACATACAAAGACTTTTACAAAAGCAACAAAGTTCAATCCCCCTTCTACTATGTGATGTGAAGTTTGTCGGTTTGTGAGCATGAGTTTGGATTTCATTGTAGATGTGTGACTTGGTGATAAGTATGAATGTGCTGTGTGAATTAGTGGTTCCTATGTCAATGAAAGGAAGTCCAAGGAGTGAAAGGTAGGGCACATCAAGTCAAAAGGATTAAGGGTTTGGGGATAAAGCCTTGCATGGGTTTTAGTATCTGAAGCGCTCTGAGTTCAAGTTTAAGATGGATAGCAGACACCAGCATTGACTTATCAAAATAGTGGGCGCATGCGTAAGGAGAAATAGAAGTCAAATACAGTAGGATGGCAAAGTTGGCCCTTATGTGAGCACAGACTGGAGCATGGGCACAGCAAAGGCAGTAGCCGAGGTAAAGGGTGAGTCACTTGCACATATGTGCATGAGAGTGTGGTCAGGGCTGCAGAGGTGGGAACAGTTGTTATGTCTAACAATCCACATGCACAGTATGCATTCCACTTTTACAGTGTACACAGCGCAGCATGCGCTTCAACAGCACAAAGGGCCACAAGGCAACATGCGGTAATCTCTCCATTGCTGCACGCACATACACTTACAGTGTGTGTTCCACCTTTTTGGCATAAGAGGCAGCAGTCACATCATGGCACATGCACAGCACGCGCACTCTGGCCTTATGGCATAAAGACAGCACTGTACACAGCCAATTTACACGTCGACACTGGGGCGCGCATGCTCTACACAGCCAAGTTACCCATTTACGCCATGATGCGCACATTGTACACCGCCAATTTACGCGTCAATGCTGCGGCTCTACACAGCCAATTTACATGTCAACGCCGGGGCGCGCATGCTCTACATAGCCAAGTTACGCGTTTACGCCGGGATGTGCACCTTGTACACACCCAATTTACGCATTGACCCAGCACAGTGTGTCTGCTTCGACGCGGGCTTGACGCGTCGTGATTTCACCAGCAGAGAAGGTGCGACCTGCCTCGAGTACCTCCTCTCCCAACCACCACCACACACCCATCACCACCGCTCACATCACTCAAAGTAGACTCTGCGTACATGCTTGTCTGCCTCATTTCAGCCTTCAATCTCTCCCCAGCAGTTGGGTTCCTGTTGCCACCGCTCTACACCGTGCCACACACAGTCAAGATGCACTTGTTGGACCTGTACCTTTGCGTGCCTGTGCCTGCACCACTGCTCCTCGATGAACGTCTACTTCGACACTTTTGGTGCCTGGTGTTCCTGATATGTGGTGTGCACAGCTGCTTTGACAACAATGCAACATGAGCTGGTCTTGTTATGTTGAAGCCCACATCGAGTGGCATGGATGCGGTATAAAGACCCCCTTGGTGAGTCAATCATCCTCGATCATAGCAAACACTCCATTGAACAGACTCAGCTTACTGCCAACTTCCTCACTCGAGCACTCAGCACAAACCCTGTAACTCAACCAACATTGACCAGTCACCATGTCGGCTAGCCAAGACATCACATCTCTCTCTGTTGCAGACCAGCACGTACATGCGCTTGCGCTGCAGTACCCCTACCTTGTAGAGTGGCAGGTCATTGCCTGCCTCGAGTGCAAAAGCTGCATTCATCCCGGTGAGGTTGGCATCAAACGTCACTTATACAAGCACGGCATCAAGGGCCAGGAGCTCACTGGCCTGCTTGGTCTACTTCTTGAGCACGAGGTGCCAAGCCTGGGTGAGCCCCGCAACACCTGGCCCACCAAGCGTGTCAAGGAGCTTGCTGAGCAGCAAGGCTGGCAGTGCGTACATGGCTGCACCCAAGCATTTGCAACCGTTGATAAAGCTAAGCAGCACATGGATCAGGTGCATAGCACAAGACTTGTCCCGGGAGACACGCCACTCTGGAAGCCCTGCACCATTCAGACCTTTTACTCCAACAACAAGAATGTGCGCTGGTTTGCTGTTGATACTGCTGACACGCCAGATGTGTCGCAGTCGCAGCATGTTCCCTTGGCAGAGGAGGCTTTCTTTGCAGCACTGGAGGCTGATCATCATCAGGCAAAGCAGGATGCTCGAGATCAGATGCAGCGTATCCAAGGGTTTGGGGTGCAGCACTCCACTGTGGTGCCTTGGCTTCAGACCACAGGCATTGAGGGACACGTGCGTGGATTGGACAAGCAAGAAATGCAAGCATCTTTTGCTCTGCCTCCGTCCAAAGAAAAGCAGCTGGTCTGTATCCTTGATGCTCTTGAAGACATGCTGCA